TTGAGCTTTTGATTAAATATTCGACCTTTATCGATTGGGTTTGTTTTCTTTGGCAGTATTTGATGTATTTTGGTTGCTTTGGGCTAGTTTCGAGCCATTCAGAGGTGGGTACGCACGAGATGGAATTTTGGGGCATCATTTGGCTTGTTCGAGGTAACACTACTTGGTGTTGGGGGTGTGAACCCCTGAATAAACATGATATGTGTTTAGGTATTAAGGTGACGCACATGCTAGGTGACGAGCGTGTAGGCGTGCACCGTGTGAATTATAACTCAGTTATTTCTGTGGCACCATGTAGTTACCTAATCTTGTTTTTATCAATAAGATTTCTACGTGTTAGAGTAATTGAGCTGTGATCCATGTTAGAAACCATGCTTATGTTATATGTTGATTCTGTTGGGACCCACTGATTTCATATCTGTTGTGGAGTTATTTTTTTTAATTGCAGTTACATAATCTGTCATACTAATTCATTTGCATATCATATCTCAGTCTCTGTTACTATTTATAGATGCATCATATCATCATTTTGGGGATGATTTTCATGACATTGTGAGCCCGAGAGACTGTAGAGATTTATGACAGAGTGAGGCCGAGGTCCTGTTTGTGAGTGATATTTATGGGAGCGGGTTGCACGCCACAGCATGTTATTATGATTTATGCCATGATTGGCTTATTATGGCACTTGGGCTGAAGGAGCCCCTCCAGAGTTTGCACACCCACAATGAGCGCAGGTACCTATTGAGTGCGACTGCCGAGCGATTGGGAGGATTGAGTGACTGTGAGGACTGAGTGTCTGTGAGGACTGAGTGACTGGGAGGAATGAGTGGATTGATACTCAGAGAGTATGCATATGGTTGTTCACTATGTTGTATCGTATTCGACATGCGCACTTGACATGCAGGCTTAGAGATGCATTTTTCTCATGTTATACGGTATCACGCCATTCATGACTTCTCATACACATTGGCATGTAGGCATAAAGATGTACTTTCCTCATGCCATTTGATAATGAAACATTTACTAGTGGAAACATTTTGAAAAAAAATTACGGTTTTACAAATTTACTCATGTTATAGAGCTTTCGGTAAAAGATTTGAGTTTTATTGTTATACTTGAAAATCATGCCTATTTTTCTGGAATTTTGAACGAGCTGAGAACTATATCTCTGAGTTACTTCTTTTAGCATTTTCAGTATGATTTTATGAATTGTCGTTGGCTATTTGTATGGGACTCTGATCTTTGTTCTAGCTCATCAATACATTCAACCTAAGGTTATGCTTGTTACTTATTGTGTAAATAGGGTCGGTTGTACTCATACTACACTTCTGCACATTGCGTGCAGATGTTGGATTCTGATGTTGTTGTGCATGGCGGGAGCTAGATTTGAAGATGTACCTGCGTTCAGGTCATAGCTGCCTCTCGATCATGGTAGCTTTAGAATCATGTTGGATTTTGATGTTATTGCGTGTTGTGATTTTCTCCTGGATGTGATCTAATGGAAGGTTCCTAGTTAATTGAGTGTGTTGTTTGCTTGTGACTCATAGTTGATTATGAGATTCTCGTACTTTTCATATTCATGAAGGATGCGGTATGTTGTGTGGGATTAAGAATTGCGTGTGCAAGGTCACGGTTTAGTTTTGAAAGGAAGGGAATGAATTCTTAGACATCATGGGCGGTTTTAGATGACTAGATGAATGATATTACTACTTGGTATTGCCTGAGGAGAGCGTACATTTCAGAAGGTGCACTTAGTGTTGACTTATGGATGCTTCATTGGTATTACGGTACTTGCCTGGTTGATCGACTGTTGATATTCAGATTTTTCTATATGGCATGAAAGAATTATAGAAGTATTCCCGTGGGATGATCGTGTATGAGAGATGTGTTAGACATTTGGACGGTGGAGTTGGGATCAGATATGGTGATTTGTGTATTCTACGGATTTGGAGACTGAGAAGTTCTCAGAAGTAGATTGTTTCGTGGTTATGGACTGTGAAGATGTGGCCAAAGCTAGCCAGATGATAGTATATGTTATGGTTAGGTCATTGTGGACTTTCGGAGGATTATTTATCTATTTATGGATGACCAGAGTGATTTGGGTCCCATTGGTAGGCCCAACGAGGATGTGTATTCTACACTGGGTTAGATTGTTCGACTCCGTATTGCTATTGTTGGGGGATGTGCCATTCGATTAGAGTTGAGCTTATTTGTGTTCTGATATGATCTATGTGTTACTCCTCTATGCTATGAGAGGTTGTTATTTTTTGGTTATAAGCACACATGGTGCGGTTCTATTTGGGTCTTGTAGCAGGATTTGAGCGAGATGGTTATTGGGGTGTCGAATTGTCGATTGCGCCTTGGTTATGTTCTCTCAGGACTGTGGTATATTGTGCTATTTTCTTCTCCGTGGTTATGGTCATACATTTCGTGTATTTGATGTCGAATTGCGTGTAGTTGTTGATTTTGAGCATGGTGGCTTGAGATATTTCATATGGACTCATATTTCAATGGGGTCATGCATTGCAGCTGGGTTATGTCGGGATATGATCTTTTGTGTTAGATTCTTGTGTCTTGGTTCTACTATGTAAGATGGGTTTGTAGCATTGTGGTTGTGGTGGTACTTGTTAAACTTGCGGGATAGTTCTCTCGTTTGAGTCATTTTTCATGATTGAGTACATTTTGGTTGTTGCTTATTAGTGCACGTATTGCGTGGGTTATGGTTTAAGGTTGTATTGATGTGGCATATCACTAGAGTGGTTGTGTGATGAGATGAGGTCATCGAACCTAGAATGGGTGCTATTGGATTTGTTTACGGTATATTTGGAAGGATAATGCCATTGATCGGCTTATAAATTGGCTATAGTTCTTATCAAAGGAGAGGGATCTCCATGACTTGTTGATCTGATATGTGGTTATGATTTTCTGCGTGCTTCTTTCATCATTGGCAGTGTACGAAAGTTTTAGAACGAGGTATTGTTTGATATGAGGTTTATTACCGGTACCGGATTTGCTTCGAGCAGTTATTGTGGTCGAAAATTATTGCTACGAGTATTTGAGTTATGTGGTATATCATGTGATTGCATATTGGGCTAAGGTTATGGCTTGATACAACTTTTTCAGACTTTTATAGTGTGTGCATGCGAGATTCCAAGGTTTATTGGCTAAGGTTGGATTAAGTATCTTTAGTTTGGTGGTGTCGTCAGGTTTATATGAATTAGGGTAACGTGGGATCACCCCCGGGTATGTGCATGGTAAGGTTACATGACGATTTGATGGCTTTGGAATGACTCTTGGCACGTTCGAGGACGAACGTATATTTAAGTGGGGGAGGATGTAACGACCCGACCGGTCGTTTTGAAATTTTGCACTTCGCTCAGTAGTTTAAGGGCATGAGTAGCTCTGTACGATGTATTATTGTCACGCCCCAAACATGGGGAGGCGTGGCTGGCACTCGGTGCCGTGTTGGTCCGAACGAACCACTCAGCAACTCTTTCTTTTTCTTTGTAACTATCATGAGCCAACATGGCCACAACTTGTAAGGCATAACTATAAGTGGGCAAACACTGTATCAATGAACCATCTTTCTTAAAACATGAATACATATGGGCCGTCAAGGCCTCTGACATACTGTACAAAATGAACCTCTATCTACAAAGCCTCTAAGATTATATGACATCAAATGGGACAGGGTACCGGCCTACCCATAAGTCTGTAACAAAACTCTGACGCGATGACTCATAGACTCGGCTGCACTCCGAATGAGGTGGAGTCTTACCGATCCTTCGCTGAATTCTAATCTTGTCTATTATGAGGGCTCGTCAAACTGATTATCTACACCTGGAGGCATAAATGCAGCGTCCCCAACAAAAGGTCGTCATTACGAATAATGTACTGAGTATGTAAGGCAGAACTGAAACGTAATAATAAGTCAACATTAATTAAAAACATAAAAATCAACCTGAATCTCTGAAGTGCCACCGTATATACATACTTATACTTATATATATATAATACTTCTCTTTGAATCTATTATCCATATCGTATGATGCATGACTGCCCAACTGATCAGTGGTAACTGCTCGACCGGCCGTAGCACGGTGATAAATGCATGACTGCCCGACCAGCCGTAGCTCGTTGGTAAATATGTAACTGCCCAACCAGCCGTAGCTCCGTGGTAAATGCATGACTGCCCGACCGACCATAGCACCGTGGTAAATGAATATGTATGTCTGCCCAACCGGCGGTAAATAATAATACATAACTGCCCAACCGGTGGTAACTGCCCGACCGGACGTAGCACGGTGGTAAATGAATATGCATGAAGATACGTGTATCACTATATTATAAACATTAACATCTTTATCAAATACCTCAATAGAGATTTCAGAATATGCTTAGACATGCTTGAATATCACTTTACAGGAATAAATAACATAGAAATCCTTAACTACTAAGAGTAGAACCATTTATGTAATAGCATTACCTTTACGTATCGTTACTTGGATCATGCCAAAAAAAAGAAGGATTAGCCTTAACATACCTGGAGTTGGAAAAATTTACAAAATCTACACGGGCAAGGAGTGATCAGTTGGTCTTGCACATATTGTAGTTTCCGTGGTGTTTAATCAATTAGAGTATGAAGCAAGGTCCAAATTCCAACAATATAAGCAACGGCAACTTGAGCATTCATCATTAGATATATGAATCTTCATTCCTTGTTTTGCCTTTTTGTATATAATCTTTGCCAAGAAATGAATTGGATATCTTTTGAAGATAAGTAGAGATGACTAGGATAATGTCATTTCTTTACATGTAATAGTCTTAGAATTGTTGTCCAAGTGCCCACTAATTAGTTTGTCTAAGGCAAGAGTCATTTAAGTGTTACTCTTATTTGCTGCCACGTGGGNATTTGTGTTATTTTTGTCCTCTTGCTATCGCATGAAATCCTTTATTTACTTAAGTGAGTATTTTACTTGCCTTTTGAGTATCTTCTCATATTTTGCTTGCATTTGCATGTTGTCTGATAATTTTCTTACTTTAGGGAAAGGCTGCTGCTGTATGTAAAAAGAAGGTAGGCTGGCAAAATCTTCATCTTCTACTTTTATTTTTTATTTACTTTGATAAGTCTTCATCATCTTTTTAATTGTATTTCATAATGTTCTACTTGGCAATATAATGAACATTTCCCTTTCGTTCGTGCAATTCAGAAATAAACATCTACGGTAATCAATGTTTTCTTAAAAAAGCTTATTTTTTTGTATAGGTGAAATGACATTACATCCCTTTACTTCTGATATATCATCTTCGACGATGAATCATTCTAACCAACACAAAAATCTATCTCCATTTCTTTGACTTGATGTTAGTAATTTGTTAGCCTCGGTTTACATTCTGTAGTTCATTGCTTTCCCCATCCTTTGCAGGTTCCTTCATCTGCAGGCGGTGATGATGAGAGTAGGGATGATACTTCTGAAGAAAGTGATGAAGAAGAGCCTCAAAAGAAAAAGATCAAGGTCTGGATATGTTTCATTCGTGATATTTTAACTTGTATTTCATTTTAGTTCATTGTCTAACAATTGTGTTTCACAGCCCTCTAGCACTCCAACTGTCTCAAATACTCGAAAGGAGAGTAGTTCTGAGGAAGATGTTCCTGCAGCCAAGATACCTCCTGCTAATGGCTCAGCTGCAGCTTCGAAGAAAGACGAGTCAAGTGATGAGTCTAGTTCTGAGGATGATAGCAGCGCAGAGGAGGAGGAGGATGCCATTAATAAGGCACATGCTGCTGCACCTAAAAATGGTACTGCCGCTACCTCTAAAAAGGAAGAACCCAGCGACGAGTCTAGTTCAGATGATGATGTAAGGGCATATGCTAAGTGATAAATGCAAATATTCCAACTTGTATTTCGTTTTAGTTCATCATTTCACAATTATGTTTCACAGCCCTCTAGCACTCCAGCTGTCTCAAAGAAGGAGAGTAGTTCTGAGGAATCTTCTGATGAAGACGAGTCCTCTGAAGAAGAAGAGGATGAAAAACCATCGAGAACTCCCAAGAAGGTAATATTTTCGTATCTTTTGGGTTGATCAGAATATTCCTTTTTGGCATAACTAGATGATCTGCATCTCTTCCAGCGGGTTTCATAATTAGTTACAACTTCGTTCTTACAATTGGTTGAGCTGCACTATTTATTATGTCTCGTTGCTTTATAAAATTATATTTGCGTTTTGTTTTTTTACTTAAAACTATGTTGTTCATAATGCAGTAAAAGACCCCTATTACTCCTAAAGCTCAAACTCCGGGATCAAAAATAATTTTTGTTGGAAATCTACCCAACTCGGTTGAGGATGGTTCTTTTGAGGGCTCATGTTGAATTTGTCACTGCACAGAAGGTAAGTTATTTTCTCCGTAACAAAGTTGTTAGTCTGATGCATGCTGCCAGATGAAGAAAAAAAAGAATCTTAAAGATGCTAAATCACCACCTGCATTTTCTTGAACCGATAAACAGCTAAGCTCTATCAACTAGTTTGGGTTATTTGTCCGTAAAAATATGGTGTATACGGTCGAAATAGATTTCGGCCTTCCTATGTTCGATTGAGTTCGAATGGTAAGCAACCGGAGTGAGATTTTGGGATGAGTTTCGAAGATGGTACAAACGAGCCTCGAGTTCCAAAGACTGATCGAGGAGTCGGCTCCATGACCAAATCGATCCGCAAGGCAACGTGAGGGTGGTCGGAAATGCGCTACACCCACCCCGAAGGTCGAACTTAAGCCAAAGTCGAGGGCTCGACTCAATAACGAGTTCGAGCCAGTATCGAGCTCGCAGACAAGAGCCGTTACAACCGCACTAAGGGAGAGAATCTTGGCGGGAATCGAGGAAGAGACAATTCATCATGGGTTCTCCATTATATATTTTTTTTTATTGTAAATAAAGTAGGATCCCTCTACTATAAAAGGGGGAATCCTTGTAAGCATAAGGCAATCTCACACTCTACAACAAAAGATCATTTCTCATATTGAAAGATACCCTTTTATGCTCGTTTTATTTATCTTATTCATTCTTCTTGCTCACTATTCTCATTCTCATAGTCAAGAACATAAATATTACTATTTCTCTATACAGTTTGTATCAAATTATATCACATATCTTTAGAACCATACTCAAATTTAACTTTATCCGATTTTTCGGGTAAACAGTTTGGCGCCCACCGTGGGGCTAAGGATAACAGTGATTGTTTGATATAAATCAGCAATACACACCAGTTTACAACTTTAAATCAACAATGGCTTTACCTATCGACCACGAAGCAGGCCTTTAAGATGAAACCAACAACTTGGTACCCGGGGCCAGAAGGCCACTTGATGATGGCACTGAAGCTCGAATCGAAGTACCTGAAATTCGAGCCGAAGTACCACTAGATGTCAATTCGCAAGTGGCTCTTGAGGCAAACCAACGTTCCGAACCGGAAAAAAGCATTCAGGGCGGTACTCAATCTGTAGCTCGAGACACCCATAACATGGAGGAAATCGGAGTCAGCTTACGTATGATCTTCGATATGTTACAAGCCCAACAAGTAGCGATAGCTCAATTGCAGAGCCAAACTCATATACAAAGCAGGCCAGATCCCAATCCGCTTCGAGAAATCACCCCCAGAACGGAGCCCGCCATAGTGAAGTCAAACGAGCAAGAATCGGGGACCACTCCCGAAATTACTAAATTGCTCGAGGAACTCACAAAACGAGTCAAAGCCAACGACAAGAGAGTGGAAACATACAATGCCAGGGTCGATCAGATCTCGGGAGCTCCACCAATGATAAAAGGGCTGGATTCGAAAAAATCCATACAAAAGCCTTTTCCCTCGAGTGCGGCCCCAAAACCAATCCCCAAAAAATTCCGTATGCCCGAAATTCCCAAATATAATGGTACGACCGATCCCAATGAATACGTCACCTCTTACACATGTACCATCACGGGTAACGATTTAGAGGACGATGAGATCGAATCTGTATTGTTGATAAAGTTCGGGGAGACCCTCTCGAAGGGAGCGATGATTTGGTATCACAATCTACTGCCGAATTCCATCGATTCTTTTGACATGTTAGCAGATTCGTTCGTAAAGGAACATGCTGGTGCCATAAAGGTTGCAACAAGGAAATCAGACCTCTTCAAAGTAAAGCAAAGGGGTAATGAAATGCTGAGGGAATTCGTATCCTGATTTCAAATGGAACGCATGGAATCGCCATCGGTCACAGACGATTGGGCCATCCAAGCTTTCACCCAAGGGTTGAACGAGCAAAGTTCAATAGCATCACGTCGGCTGAAGCAAAATTTGATCGAGTGTCCAGCAATAACTTGGGCGGATATGCACAACTGATATCAATCGAAATTTAGGGTCGAAGATGACCAGTTGGGAGCTCCGTCTGGATCCATGCATCAGAACAGGACAGCTATTAAAAACCAAAGGGAGATCGACAGAGAATAAAGGTCGAACAGAGACCGATATCAACCGTACGTCGCAGATCATATGAACAACGGTTCAACACGCAATACCGCTCGGAACAATCGAAGGAGTGATCGGGGGCAAAATTCTCGGGGGCTTATGAGCAAGAGTGGCTTTGATAAATATGCCGATCCTATGGAGGCACCTCGGCTATCGGAGTACAATTTCAGCGTCGATGCATCGGGCATTGTATCGGCGATCGGAAGAATCAAAGATACTAGGTGGCCCAGACCCATGCAAACCGACCCTTCCCAAAGGAACCCGAATTCGATGTGCAAGTATCATGGTACGCATGGCCACAGGACTGAGGAATGCAGACAATTGAGAGAAGAGGTAGCCCGCCTATTCAATGAGGGCCACCTTCGAGAGTTGCTTAGTGACCGAGCTAAGAATCACTTCAGAGAAAGGGACGCCGGCAAAAGAGATAAACAGGAGGAACCCCTGCATATCATTCACATGATCATCGGTGGGATCGATATTCCACAGGAACCCGTTCTCAAATACGGCAAGATACCAGCCACAGGGGAAAAACGAACCCGAGGTTATGCACCCGAGGGCACTTTATCATTCAGAATCGAAGAAGTCGAAGGCATCTCTCACCCTCACAACGACGCTCTGGTAATTTCGATCCTATTAAATAAAATTCAAATTAAGCGCATCTTAGTGGATCCAGGTAGCTCTGCAAATATCATCTGATCTTGGGTAGTGGAGGAGCTCGATTTACAGAATCAAGTCGTGCCCGCAGCTCGGGTCTTAAACGGCTTCAATATGGCCAGTGAAACAACTAAAGGGGAAATTATCCTGCCCATAAATGTGGCTGGAACCGTCCAAAACACCAAGTTCCACGTAATCGAAGGCGATATGAGGTACAATGCCCTACTTGGAAGACCATGGATCCACAATATGAGGGCAGTAACTTCGACTCTATACCAAGTAATGAAATTTCATACGTCGGACGGCATGAAGTCAATGTACGGGGAGCAACATGCTGCGAAGGAGATGTTTGCGGTTGATGAGATAACATCAATACCAACGTCGTCAGCCTCGGAAAGGTCGAGCATAAAAACTAGGCGAGGAACCAAATAGCAATCACAGCAACCGGTCTCGACCGAATCGGTGAAACAGGAAATAGATGAAAACGAGAAAGAATTTCCGACACCTCGAGCTCTCATCGTCCCCGACGCCACCAAGTCGACGATCGAAGAACTGGAGCAGGTTATATTAATCGAACATCTGCCCGAGAAAAAGGTATACCTGGGTACGAGGTTGACCCCCGAACTCAGAGAAAAACTCATTCAATTTCTTATTAATAACATATATTGTTTTGCTTGGTCCCATTTAGACATGGCGGGGATCCCACCATCGATAACAACGCACCAGCTGAGCTTGGACCCTAGATTCAAACCGGTGAAGCAAAAATGAAGACCCCAATCCGAGGTGAAACACGCATTTGTAAGAAATGAGGTAACTAAACTTCTCAAAATAGGGTCAATTCGAGAAGTGAAATATCCCAAATGGTTGGCCAATGTGGTTGTAGTCCCTAAGAAAGGGAACAAACTTAGAATGTGTATAGATTATAAAGATCTAAACAAAGCATGCCCCAAAGATTCCTTTCCACTGCCTAGCATCGATCGCTTGATCGACGCCACGACCGGCTATGAGATCCTCACTTTTCTCGACGCCTACTTCGGGTATAATCAAATTAGCATGGACCCGGAGGACTAAGAAAAAACTTCGTTTGTCACTAAGTATGGAACCTATTGTTATAATATAATGTCGTTCGGGCTAAAAAATGCAGGGGCTACGTACCAACGCCTAGTGAATAAAATGTTCGAAGAACAAATAGGTAAATCAATGGAAGTTTACATTGATGACATGCTAGTTAAGTCCCTGCACGCAGAGGACCATTTGGCTCATTTGCAAGAAACGTTCAAAATTCTAAGGAAATGCAACATGAAGCTCAACCCCGAAAGATGTGCTTTCGGGGTCGGATCGGGAAAGTTTCTCGGCTTCATGGTGTCGGATAAGGGGATCGATATCAACCCCGACAAAATCAAAGCCACCGAAGACATCACCGTCGTGGATAGTGTGAAAGCAGTGCAAAGGCTGACCTAACGGATAGCTGCCTTAGGCCGATTCATTTCAAGGTCGTCAGATCGAAGCTACAGATTCTTCTCTCTACTCAGAAAGAAGAACGATTCCGCCTGGACCCCGGAATGCCAATAGGCACTAGAACAACTGAAGCGGTACCTATCGAGCCCACCATTACTTCACATTCCGAAGGCAGATGAGAAGCTTTACCTATACTTGGCAGTATCAGAAATCGTTGTGAGTGGTGTCCTAGTTTGAGAAGAGCAAGGTATGCAGTTTCCTGTTTATTATGTAAGTCGGACCTTAGGAGAGGCAGAGATTAGATACCCATACTTAGAGAAACTGGCGCTTGCATTGATAAACGCCTCTAGAAAGTTAAGACCATACTTTCAATGTCACCCCGTATGCGTTTTAACCACTTACCCACTTCAAAACATTTTGCACAAGCCCGAGCTATCGGGCCGACTGGCCAAATGGGCCGTCGAGCTCGGTGGGTACGATATTGAATATCAGCCTCGGACGGCCATCAAGTCCCAAATTCTAGCCGACTTCGTGGCCGACTTCACAACAACCCTTGTACCCGAAGTTGAAAAGGAACTCTTGTTAAAATTAGGTACATCGACGGGGGTTTGGACCCTCTACAAGGATGGTGCTTCAAATGTGAAGGGTTCCGGGCTTGGCATCGTACTAAAACCTCCCACATGTGGCATTATTAGGCAATCCATCAAAACTACTAGATTAACTAACAATGAGGCCGAGTACGAGGCCATGATTGCAGGTCTCGAGCTAGTTAAAAGCTT